CCCAAACTGTTATTTCATTAAAGGAAAATACTTCTAATTGATTATCATGTTGAACATTTGATTCCCTTAAAGTGCTGCTTGTCCTATGTACGAGTATATCAAGGGTAACTATCAGTCGTTCCTCGTTTGTAATTTTGCAACGTTATATAGCTATTTGCTTGTATGTGCCTACGTTACAAGAGTCAGTGAGGTCCTAATCCAATTCCAAATCGAAATGCTCTAGATATTTTATTCTCCGTTCTATCACCTGAACATTAAGGAAATTGCTAAGTCGAATTATGCAGGCAGAGTATGGAAGCATATATTGATGTTACTTTTTTATAGCAAAACTACCATCTTCAACGTCTGAGCGAATTCTCTTTAGCATAATGCTCTTTTCACCTACTACTATGGCATCAGGTACGTGTTTTACACATTTTTACATAAAGTTGGCGTAGTTTTAATGTTTGATTTCCTAATATATAAAACTCTTACAATGATGAAACAAAGAGCTTTAGCACCGAAAAAAAAAGATAATTTTTGATGTAGTCTGCAGTATAGTGATAATTTGCCAAGTCAGAAAAAGATGTGCTAGCGGCACATGATGGTACCTCTGCGGAGATAACTTTGGGTGCAGAAACATGGTTGGCATTTTGCTAACTTGTGCTTTGTGGAGTTTAAAAACTTGAGGAGATTTGGAAACTTCTATTTGAGATGTATTAGAGTTATTTTCAGGCAATTTAAGCCCACTTCGCAAATTTTCCGGTATTATCCGTAAAAACTCCCCTCCTGGTTCGCCACCTTCACCAGCTCCAGGCTCACCATCGTGAGTTGGTAGAGATGTCTTGAGAAGACTTTGAATAGTCCATGATTCAATTGCAGGTGGTGCCTCTGGCTTGTTGCAGCCCTTCAAGGTCATGAAATCAATAGTGAAGAACGGCGAAAACTCGCCGATGACATTGAGCGAATGAGCGATCTCGAGCAGGAGATGTTCATTGAATTCTTGGAGGTTTGCCAAATATAGTC